ATCCTGAAAAAATTCAGATATCTGGATTCGTCACATCCCTGTATATATATATATATCTCATAATGACAGAAAACACAAAATATTACACACAAACTTTATTTCATTATTTTTTGTCAAAGACTTATACAGGCCCCACTTCAGTTGGTCCATTTACCTCACAAAGAAGAGTTGGAGATAAACCATGATATCGAACTAGTTCGGTGAAGCTCTCTGACACGATAATCGAGACAAGCGAGAGTTTACCGTTATCCGACGCCGGTGGAGCCTTTGCTGGCCGGCGTTGGGCTATGGTCCGTCCTAATTGCTCACATGTTACTCTCTCAATCATTTCATCATCGTTGTCCCGTTCGAATTCGAGCGAAACCTCCGACCACCTTACGCAAAGCAAGGCTCTGGTTATATTCAAATCTGGCTCGACTCGGAGACGGAGCTTTCTGTCGGAAGACAAGAGCTGGTACCCCCATGGCTCAGAGATATGCTCGGTGCAGATCCGAAGACCTATGGCTTCATGGAGACCCGAAAAAACGGCTGTTCCCCTAGAAATGCTCCCAACCGCGAGAATCGAAGAACCGCTCAACAAGCAGAAATCTCACCGGAGATGGGCGCTCTTCGTCTTCAAACCTTCGTCAGCCATCTTGGCCGCCGACGAGACCTTCCGGGCATATTATGCCGTGGTATCCTCTGTAACCTTCCGCCGTCTTCCATGAAGGCCGGCGAGACCTTGGAGAAGGCGGACCCGCCAGATGCTTTCCAGGAACCGTCGAGCTCGCTCGCCCTTGTCAAGTCTCACCACTGTCCCGACCTTCTCTCGCCAAGGCAAGTCCCGAGAGAATCCCGACTGTTATCACCGGCGGATCTGCTAGCACCCTCGATGCCATACGCCGCGGTTAATCTTCATCACCGTCGTCCCTCACCGGAACCTTACCCAGATCTGAACGGCACCGGATCCGGAAGGTTGCCGGCTTGGTTTCGACGGCTCATCAATCCACCGTTCGGTTGTCGCACCATCACTACCCTACCCCGACCAGCTGGTCACCATCGGCATCCTTTGGCTGCCGCCGGAAAAGCAATAGCCGGAAAAGCCCCAGCGCTACAAACCATGGCCGACACTGTTCCATCCTCTTGGATTAGGTTAGTGTTGGGCTTTTGGCAATTAATGGGCCTGATCCAAGTTCTCTTAACAATCCCTTGTGTTGGGCCTAGATTGAATTTGGACAGTTTTATTGTTCTAATGGGTTTCTCAAAGCCCAATCTGCTGTGGCCCAATTGGGAGATGGTTCTCCATTATATTTGCCCAGCTTCTGGATTCTTAAATCCTGCAAATTATTCTTCCCGGTGGAAGAGATCATTTCCACCTACCATCTTTTTGATATTGGTTATATCTTCCCTCTCTTATAGAGTGGTCGATCCCCCGAGTTTTATGCTGGGATTTTCAAAGTCACATTCAAAAATGATTAATCTAAGACACTTCGGCTCTGCCGCGATGATCCTTTTGACGCATCCGAGGATTGTCTTGTATCCGCTGTCCATCTCCTGCAATGATTTATCTGTTTTATGTTTTATTGTATTTCAACTATATTGTAGTAATCTGAGAAGATGTTTAATTCCCTCTTTTTGTACATGTTTCGGCTAAATGAATGAAGTACTTGTTG